AGATTCTGAATAACGAGGTTTTTGTGGTGTCAACGTGCCCACGGTCTTATCAAAGGGGGTGAAGTACACTTTCTGTAGCTGATGAACGACACGGGCCAGAAATCGTCTTTACAAGCAGCCAATTTACTCTAACCTAAGCTAAAAAGAGAAACTACAAAAGAGAGAGCACACCTTCAAGGTGTGCAAGTGAGATGCCACAAATCGGAAGACACTACGCGCTCGACTACTGCGCGCAGTAGTAGGTAGTGATGAAGGTGAAAGTCCTGCTCAATTGAAAAAAAAAAAGAGTTGAAAAACACCTTTTTTTACGTTCCTCCTAATAGCCGGAAAACTATTTATAACGCCGGAAAATTTTTTAGACGAGGTAAAAACGACTAATAGCGGCCAATTTAAGGCTAACGTCTTAGCGTCCAAACAAAAAGACCTCCCAAAGATAAATTAGTTACAAGCTTCTCACAAAAGGTGGGTACCGACATAATGATAGCAGAAAAATACGGGTGACGACCCACTTTGATTCATTCAAACAGTCGAAAATGCTTTCTGCTGCTGCGGACAAGAAAGCCAAACAACTCACGTTCACCGAGGGATCAACCTCCAAAACCCTTTCGAGGGCTACAAGAAACGAAGTGAGTAGCCTACAAGATTGAAGCTGGTCAGATAACGAACGAGTAAATGAAAACAGAATGAGGCGGAGAAGTGTGTGTGTGTGTGAGATTAAAATAGCTTTGCTTTTACAATAAATAAACATTGAATGTGTTTAATTGAATAGGAAAGAGGTTTAACGTTAGTGGCAGGTTGTGTGTGAGAGAGAATAAATAAGACAGCCCAATATAAAAAAAAAAATCTATTCTTTTTCGCAGCTTTCCTCATATTTCACCGCATAAAATCACATAAAAACCTGCATGTTTAATCGCATAATCAAGGATTTTAGCCCGCGTTTTTCTGGAGGGTCTAATAAAAGTACTAATACCACACTGAAGATGCTCCACTAAAAAGTCAGAGCCCTCCATTCAAAACCTTACTTCGGTAAAAGTATTTATATTTTTAATCAGCAAGGTGTACTTGAAGTATCAAAAGTAAAAGTACTCCTTGTGCAGCAATTGATATCAAAACATTTGAGTATCATTGGTATCATCAAGTGAAAAAACGTATTACCTGCTGCTAAAGTCCAACGGAGTCAAGTCGTCGATTCTTTGGATGGATACGAATGGGTATAAAGGAAAAGAGGAGGTGTGGGAGGAAACAGACGTGCTGGGGCTGACTGCAGCTCCTCTACTGTCAACTTTTTTGGAAAGGAAAGCCAAGGGGCTTGAGAGGAAGTAGGAAGCAAGAGCTGAGAGGGAGGAGCTGGGAGAAAGTGCAAAACTGGGAGACAGGAGAGACAGGAGAGATCTTCTGGACGGGTACACCTCCTTACGCAGGCAGAGGGGGGCGATCTCCCTCTCCACCTCCACGCTGCAGACCGTGTGTCGACGAGCCCGCCGCAGGGCTATCTGGGAATGATGGAGAGAAGGAGTGTGGAGGGCTAGGGGCTGGTGTGGGGAGCAGATCCTGCTGAGCTGCGGGGAGTGCAGAGTAGAAGTCCAGAGCGTGTCGTCAGGTTGAAGGGACAGGATCTCTGGACAAGAGTAGCTGCGAAACAGGCGTGTTGAGGTGCCGTTCCCTGAGGAGCGGGAACTCGCTGTAGCCAGGTCTGCATCGTCCATAGTGATGCAGTTTGTCCCCTGCTCACCTTCAAGAGTCCTACTTTGCAAAACTCTGCATTTTCTCTTTAGGTTTTCTGCTCTCCTTGGCTTAATGTTAACCCCTTTTGTACTAGACCTTAGCCCAGTCACTCTGCTTTGGTTACTGGCTTCTACCTCTTCTGACACAGGAGCAGCACTCCTGTCTTTCCCTTCAACAACATGGTTAACTTCAATATCCAATTGTACATTACTGTCTCCATTAGGTTGAGAGGATGAAGAAACAGGTTGTTGAATACTTTCAAAAGGAGTCATTTCAAAATACACAGGGTCCATTGAGATTTTACATTTGCCTTGTTTAGGCTGGTTTTCTTTGGCTACCAAATGAAGGTTATTGACACACTGCTTTTTCTCTTGATTCCCAGCTGACATAGATGATTTATCAGCAACTTTTAAAGCCTTTTTGGATCGTTTGGGCAGCTGCTTCAGTTCCTTTTCCAAGCCTGAACCTGATTGGGTTGGCGATTTCCGTTTTAGTGGTTTGTCGTTTATATTCCTACGCTTGCTTGTGCTTTGGAGGGGCTTTATAGAAGGACGGACAAAGACCACTGATAACGGTTCCTGCTCAATTTCTTTTGCAGAGGTGGTTTCTAGTTCCTTACTGTTCGACCTGGTCTTTAGTTTTTTGCAGGAGCCACCCGTTGGCTTCACCGTGCGACTACTGCCCTTTTGGTTTTTTTCTGACACACCAGTGATTTCATCCAGAGAGCAAACCAACATCGCATCAGAGGGACTTTCAGTCTGTGGGTTTAACTCGGGATGTAATTCTTGTCCTACTTTTCCTTTCTTATTTTCTCTTTTTGAAGCAGCTTGTCTTTTCCTAGCAGGCTTCAGTGGTTCTTCCTTATCTACAATGGGATTTGCCATCACAACTTCATTTATATATGGTTTCAAAGGGCCACCTTCTGAGGCGACATTTAAAAGCTCTTGTCTTTTTGTTTCCTTTTTAGATTTATCTGCAGTCAATCTCTTCTTCTTCACAGCTTCTTGAGAATCGCAGTCCAGTTCCACACCCCTCTTTGCTCGGACAAGAGTTGAAACTGAGTACGTTTCAGGGCTTAGGCCACACTCCAGCTGCTGAATATTCACATAAGGCTTTAGTGTCCATCCATTTGCGTCATTTAAGTTATTATGATGCATTTGGCGAACCATAACTTCTATTCTTCTGCCTTCATCCGCATGACCAAGCTGAGGACAGTCAGTGTCAGGCTGAGTAGAACAAACGGAATCAGTTTTGTTTGATTTGACAGAATTCATGAAAGAAACCTGCTCATCACTAACCTCAGACTCTTCTTTCTTGACTTTGGATTTTGAAGACTTAGAAGCAACTTTCTTTACTCTTTCTTTACAAATTCTATTAACTGTACATTTCCTCGGCAGTAGTTTCAGCTGGACAGTCACATTGCCTCTCTGGTCCTCCATAACACCAGAAAACTTGACATTGGAATCATGTGAGGCACTTCCGTTGACAACTTCCGCAGAAACAATGCAGGGTAAGGGACAGTGTTGCAAAGGCACAGCATCAGGAGAGCTTATTTCTTTTTGGGTTATTGCACTTTCATCTGCCTGTTCAGAGCCGTGTGTTGGCAACTCCACATCCAACAATAATTTCTTTGAATATTTAAGATCAGCAGTTTCTGTGTTTTGTGAACCTTCTACTTTACTGAGCCTCTGCTGATCATCTTCAGCATCCCGATTCCTATTCTGGCTTTGTGCTTCTGGATGAAGCGTACCGCTCTGCTCCGAGTGTTCAACATCAGATGATGGATCGCCCTGTAGCTCACCCTCATCGAGTTTGTCTGGATGGTCCGTGCATGGTGGAGGAATATTAGCTTTGAAGAGTTTAACAGGACTCATCACTATCTCTGTGAAACTGGCCATCTTTGACTTGAGCGACTGAAATAAGGGGCCAATCACCCATCCCTTCGGAGCAACAGCCAAGACCTCCATGCGTGCGTCCATGTCAGGATTCTGTGTGGTTTCCTCAACAAACTGCTCCACTTCAATGTCCGCAGCAGAGACGTTTGGTTCCTTTCGTGGGCTTTGCCAGGTCTTTTGCCTGCTACAAAAACTTAACGAAAAAATTAGGCTCTCAAAACACATTCCACTGATAAGAAACATTACTGTTATGTCAAATAACAACACCTACATATAGTTGTTTCGTGAAAACTTTGATATATGTTTAGTGTCAATACAAGGTCTGAGTTATTTATTTATTGAAACATTCAAAAATCTATGCCTGTTTTTATCTGGCCTGATGTTGTAGGTCAAATGGAAAACTACTCAAAAGTATGCCTGCATTATATATTCTGACCATGGTTACTCAAAGAGAATAATGTTATTTAAATACTGTTTCTTATTGTTCACAAGTGTTGAAAATATATATTTTTAACAAATACAATTTAAAATGAGCACATGCATAAAAGGAACATGTTGGCAAGCAGTTTTTCTAGATAAGTCAAAACTTCAAAGTAAACATTTCAGACTTACTGATTTTGAGGCTCGGGTGTTAAACTGACATCAAATCCATCCTTGAAAAAAAAAGAAAGCACAACAAAGTTTAGAGTCCTTTCTCATAAAATCAACTAACCAATAAAACACAAATGCTGTCGTTTAGAAAATGTATTATCTGCTACTTTTTCATTATAAAACTAAAAGTATATATTTATATACATTTTAATTTCAGTGCTCTAATTTAAGATTAGCAAAAAAGCTTAATTTGATCAAATTTTGTTAAAAGAATGGAGGACATTAAGTTATTTTTTACATATGAATTAACTTGATATATATATATATATTTATTCTGAGAAACTGGTATTCATTTACTTCTACCTTTTTGCAAAACAAGAACACAAATACAACGCATTGTTAGTCTATCCCCCTTACGCATTAGTGGGTCACATTAAGACAGTGGATTTCTTATTAGATGCAGTAGACCATGAAGGAGGATTACAATCCCTCAATTAACCCTCACACCCTGCTCACTGTACAGGTCTCCAATGTTGACATACACAGCCGTACAGCAAGCTGCTGCACAGATTAGACACAGAAAGCTGCATTACATAAAAAACACCACCAATTAGGGCATGAAGACCAACAGAGATACAGTGAGGGTCGAGTGTGGAAACCTCTAGAGCAAGGAAAGACGCCACTGACCTCGTTTTGTTTCTCCAGTGCATGTGTGCCTTCAATGCTTGACTGCTTGGACTGCGACACCTACAAACCAGAGATATGCATAAACAGTTACTCATTTGATTGTCGTAACATTAATGATCTGAACCAAGATTATTTATTTTTAAACTCCTACCATGTTTGCACTCTCCCTTTGTCTCTGTGTGGGCGACGGATCCAGTCTGGATGATTGCTGAGCTGCCCCGCTGTCTGTGTGGCTCTGCTTTTCAGGGGTTTGTGCTTTGACCTCTTGAATTCGGCCACTCCGCCCGTTTCCAGATATTCCATTATCCACACAGCTGTGAATGTTTAAAAATATTTTCAGAAAATCAAGTCAATATGAAGTATTTTTTGTTTTAAGTACATTGAGAAAAACAGTACTTTAGGTCTTAAAGATGAGGAGCGGTTCAGTTGTTATGATAGGGATGTCCCAAGCCGAGTCCTTTAGTATTAGGAATCTACTGATATTCAGTTAATCAACCTTATGGATCTTTCAATACTAGTTATGATTTAGTCTCCTAACAGCGTATTCTTCACACACTACCATTTTTGAAGGTATTTATAATAAATAAGAAGTTGTTGAGTTAAATTACTGACTTGATAGGGTGAAGGTTTATTAGAAACATTTCAGGAATCAACATGAAGTGATAAGCTAGAGAGAGGATGTATGACTGTTGGAGTTCCTCCGGACTACAAAAAAAACTCTGCTTGCGTTGTTACAGAGTGATTTTGGCTGAGCACAGACACGTTTTATTTTAGTCTGCCATCAAGTTACAGACAGCGTTAACTAAAGCAGTGGCAGCCAATATGACCTGCCGTCGCTTCATCTATTTAACCGTCAAAAGAGTCACATTAAAAAGAGTAGCTGCTAGCTGAACGTTCTGCACACTGCTCTTTGTTAAGAAGAAAGAGACACACCATTAGTGAAAAGGAGGGAATAGCAAATCCATTAAATTGCCAACAGAGGTGTCAGAAATCTGTCACCAAATAATGAAAAACATCAACGTTTGAATGATGCATGGCAGTCCAACAGATGGAAAATACACATTCCTAGTATAAGAACTGATGGAAATGAAAATGTAACAAATAATAGCAAAAGTTTCCAGAGGATGTACTCGTTTAATCCGTAAATCCAAAACTGTGAAAAAAAGTGTCACAAAGCAAGGAGGGGAAAATAGACTCACAGCAAAAGAAAAAGGTGCTAGAACAACTGTACCTGGGAGTGATGGAGGAAAGGGGGAGGAGAGGTGGAGGAGGTTCACTGTGGGGGGGTGCGCTACATAAACTGTTAGAGGGAATAGCATGTTCATCCATTGGACAAACTATCTGAGGGAGCGAGTCACAGGGATAAGTCAACATCCCCTTGCTCGCTCTTTCTCTCGTGTCTGTCCTTTTCTGAAAATAACAAGAAAAAACATGCAGGGTATCACATCAGCATTAAAGCACTTCAAAATAGCTCTAAACATTAACATTCACTTACTTTTCTGACCTCTTGGATGGTTGTTTCTTCTGAAATGAGCAACAACGTATTTTAGTAATTTCCTTTTTGAGATTTGTCATTTACATAATTGATTTCAAACCTGGTTCTTTTTCAAAAAATTATCACAAGATAAAATATAAAAAACTGACACAATTTGAAAATGGCCTTCTCATTTTTCTCTCGCTCAAGATGATTTTTTAAAATGTCTCGTTTAGTCCAAAAATAAATAAATACTGTCTCGGAAAAATACAGTATGATGTGAAAAGGTTCGAAGAGAAAGACTACACAAACACATGTTTTGGATTTGAGCGTATGTGAGTCAGTCGTTGGCACATAAATTAGTTAACTTGCCCTTTCTTTGGCAAAAGGTTGGTTACATCTAACGTTGGACTAACAACCTTAAAAGCTAAGCTGCTAGCTATTTAAATATGTATTTATTTCATTGCATTTTTTCAATCAAATAGAAGGTGCGATTGGTTCGATTAACACTGGGCTAGGTCTAAATGCTGGAAGGGGCACTGTTTCACATTCAAACTTTTATGTTGAGGCTAAGCAAACAAATGGAAAGGTTAGCGAAATGTGTTGTATGGTATACAACGGATATGTTTTTAAAAAGTATTAGTGCCGACCACCTAAGCGCTACATCTAAGCATTGCTTCATTGTAATTCTCGGTTAACACTGCATGGTTTGGCTAACACCGATATTCACACAGTGTGTAATATGCGGTAATATACACTTAACAGTGTCTGTTCCGGGGAATAGCCGTAGCCACCAGTAGCTGTCATCTCTGCTAACGCTCAAACGTTTTCTATGTGGTAACTAGGCACATATTGGTTTAGCAGTTCAGTTGCTTGCAGGTTTTATTGCTAAATCACCGTGAACAAACTTACCAGAAACGACCAGCTGGCTGGACTGAGGGTAGTATTCCGACCTCACAGTAAACAAGACATGCCGGACGGCGCCCAACAAGCGACTCCCTCTCGCAAACGTATCCGTTTTTACAAATCCAGACAGATAGATCATCCAATCACAAGACGAGTTAGGTTTCCCTTGTTGAATTCTGACCAATGACAGAAGACTTTGAAACGTCGTAGGTGGATGGCATGGTGAAAGAGCGTTGATAAGACTCAATTACAAAAGTTAGTCTTCTATTATGTCCTCGGGTGACCTAGAATATTTTTAGACACATAATTGATTAACTGGAGATGATGAACTTAAATATAATTAGAAAAAAATCTATAAAACAGTTGCAATTAAAAATGTTCAATCACAAGTGAAAATGTAAGGATATATCATATTTATACATTAAATCAGTGTTTTAGTGAGCTAGAGCAAGAGCATCTCTACTTTATTTCATTCCCATTGATGGTCTTGCAGGTTTCCACGTTGAATGGTTGCATCTGCATTATGGATTGTGGCTGCGCACGTTGCCATGTTCCTGTTTGATGCCTTCTTCTACTACTATTGTTAGTCACATCTTTAAGAGTGATTATTTAAAAGATGTTTAATTGTGTTAATCATAACGTGGTTAAAAATGAAGGCAAGCCTTGAACCTTGAAGCGGCCTAGCATCCCATTGATCCATCTCTTTTAAATATGTTCACATTATCTTTTGTCATGTTTTTTATGACTAATTCAATATTGATGTTTAAAATGATGCCAGTTAAATTTACAAATTAGTACAGTAGTACATTTTACATTAACAGTAGTAGGTAAACAAGTGTAAAACAAAGAATAAGCCGTAAATGTCAATGTGCAAATGAAAGTCACGTGGAACAGCCATTAATATTTTACTCAGTGACCAGAATTAAATCAATTCTTACTGACCTTAACAAGTCCTTAGTTAAAAACAGAATAAAATGGTTTATAGCAACACCACGTTCATGAGTCATTTATTTAAAAACAATGTACAGAAAACAAAGCCTCTGTTAAAATTACATATTTAACGCAAAATCCTTGGTTGAATAGACAGAAGATAGGCTTAGGCCAAAAGATGACTGTCAAGAGTGATTGTGATTATAATGAATTAGCCGTTACACACAAATCATGTATACAGCTCAAAATCTATTCTCTTAGAGTTGTAGAACTGCGCTCCCTCCTGGTCGATCCTCTTGCAGTAAACGCCTGTGCTGAAATAGCCTTCATCCACCCAACCCTGGAAAACAGACAATAAGAAGATTAGAAGCAACCAGGGGAGATCGAGGCTAAAGGTAGAACCAACCTAGAGCACAATCATCTCAAAACATAATGGGATTTACAATTAAGTTTGCACGTACATTAGTTCTGAGGAGGAGAAGAAATAGTCATAAAGGTAAATGCCTGAATTAGGTTGCATGAGTACAGGTGCAAGTTATATAGTTGTGCATGTGGAACTGATTCAAGCACTCCTCCTAATGCACATTATCATTTGTGCATTTTTTCTTTCTATTATTCTCTCTCTTTTTTTGGAGTTCTCAATTAAATCTTAGTATTACATCAAAGGAAATACTTTTCAGTTCGATAGGGTAATGGGACCTGTTCCCTTTTGGGAAAAGTGTATGTTCAATGTTTGCAAAGTGTGAAATGGAAATATGAGAAATGTTCTTTATTTTTTCAATGAAATAGCTCCACCACAGTTGTCAGTAATTTGCTACTTATTTTTTTTTATTAGTCAATTTATTGAACATGTCAGAAACAAAAACATACAACAATGATATAAATATATATATTAGGGCTGCACGATATTGCGATATTTTTCCCCCCTGTGATATATATTGCGTTCTTTTTAACTATATTTAACCGGATGAAGGATTTTAGTCACGGACGTCTGGATCTTAACTGGTTGACTCATCATACCTTAAGTCATGATCTGACATGTCATGATAATGCATGTTGCTTACCCTCAATTAAGGGGGTTCATCTGTGAATGAAGAAGAGAAGAACCTTTTTGTATCCAAAATAGTTCCAGACGGCAGATGTTGCTTTGCTTTTTGGAAGTAAATCTTCTTTCTCGCCGGTATTGTCCTCCTGTGCCTCGCTCATTTTTTACCGGTGTTTTGATGGTCTGCAAACTAGCGGGGTGGGGCCTGCTGTGATCTGATCAAGAATGCGCTCTAAATTTTTTCAAGGGCGCGGTGCTTTTGTCATAGACGGGGGGTCGCCTTTGGTGTTACGTCAACCCGTTTAGCACTCCAGTGACTTAAGTCCGCAACCTTGTTTCCGACCTTGCGGCAAAGACAAACTCAAACGGTAGGACTTCCACTCGCACGTATAAGTTTGTTCCCGTTAGTTGGAGCTGCTTAATGTGTAATGTTTCCCTTACCACTTTCGGCAGAGCATATCTTACGTCGCGTTAGCGGCGCACGACCTGCCCGCTTTCCGCTCCTTTGCGCGGTTGGTGAGCTAAAAGGTCCTTGCTGAAACACGCTTGCTTTCACGCACGTAAATCCTTCTTGTGAATGATTTTCCCTTCTAGCTTTTTTCTCTGTGACGAAATTATGATCTGTAGTAGAAAAACTTATTACTGGACTCTAATTGTCAAAATGCTTTTTTATGTGTTTTATATTCATCAGGGTCGAAAACGTTTATACCAAACACTGACACTCTCACACACGACCATCACGATGCGACACGAACCACACACCGCGGCATCAACAATCAGAGCACACACACAACAATACAACTACAACAAACACATCTACACACAACCACATACACAACACACATAACAACAGCTTCGTCTCACACCACACATAGGCACACACAACACACACACTCCACACACACACAGCATCTACGAGCGTCTACAGTTCACCACTCTAAGTTACGATCATTTGTCTTCTCTCTCATGTCTCAAACCGGATGGTCTTTCTTCGAGACCGTGCTATAAGGAAACATTCCGCCTCGGACATACTGCTTCCATTGATAATCACCAGGTACACGACGCGCGGTGTTAGATAGACTCAGTATAACGCGCTATTCGGCGGCTATCACGCGTACGCGCGCTATACTTAGGAGACTGCGTCCGTGGGCGAGGAGCTGGCCGCAAAATATGAGATAACTGAGAAGATATATATATAAAGTAAGTTATATATGAGAGAGAGAGTAGATCCGTGCGAGCTGTCTTTATCATTTTTTTCTATATTTTGTTGTTATGTTTTGTGTTTTTGAGTACAATGTCAATAAAACGACGAACGATCGTTTCCTTTTGAACGCCGCCCCGAGAGTACAGTTCCGCCCATGAACTCACGTCCCTCGTACGTCCCCGAGACGTACGTGTTCGTTCGTGGTAGTCGTTAGTAAGAAAAAAAAAACACTCCGGGTGAAAAATAGTTAAAAAAAAAAAAAAAAAAAGTGTTGTTCCCTTGAGATATGTCTATGTTTGACTATGGATTGTAGTCTTTTTCTTTTCTGTCTCTTTCTTTTTTTATATCCCTATAGGAAAGGTACCGGTGGTCTTTTTAGGATTAGACTACAAAAAAT